AATTAAATTATAAAATGCTTTACAAGTGGTTCGGCCCCATGGGTTTCAGCCTGCCACGCCCTGCACCTACAGCTTTCAGCCTTGATACACTGAAATAAAACTGCACACAAACGAGGGTGGACATGCGATTTCCTTGACATTTATGCAATGCAACCGCAGACGCAGTGGGGCGGAGCAACTTGTCTGCCAGCAAGCACACAGCCACGGCCATGGTCTTAACCTCAGTCTCAGCCGTTGCCACGCCCCACTTGTATGCAGCAGATGTGTTTGCGGCCGGGGCAAATTGTCGAGAAGCTAAAGCAAATAGCCAGCGGCCAGATTTTGTCTTTGCGTACAGTGTAACACGTATCAATTATAGACAACAGAAACAACAACTACAATAAAAACACAATCTCAATACGGCCAACGACATCAAATTATTGGCTTGGGCCCAAGCGATTTAGGGCACACATGGGTCTCGCTCTGTAAAAGCAACAATGCGGCACAATTGCTTAGAAACAAAGTGGTTCGACTAAACATGGGAGCAAGAGAACACTCTCAGATAGTGTGGAAGTCTGTTTTAGATATTTCTGCTAAATTTAGTAAAGTTTTAGTAAGATCCAGTGTAGAATACAAATTTTTACCAATTGTGTGCCACTTGATATTATCTAATAAAACGAACATTAAGTTTTACACTTTTCATTTATACCAAGTCCATAAAATATTATTATTTTATTTTTAACAAATTATTCCAGCTATCTGCAGACTGGATAAGACTCTTGCCTTTGCCAACTGTGCTGCAGCGTATTGAAGGCGCCAACAGCCATGGGCAATCTAGTCCGATGGCAAAGCAATGCAGAGACAAAGACAAAAATTCAAAGCGACTTTAAGTGCCCACAAGCCTGGGCCCAGTTTAAGTCAGTGCCAAACTATGTCTGTAGATTTAAGCTGCGCTTTGGTACCTAATGGACAGCAGCGTTTGCCAGGACTGGGTTGGAGTTTGGGTTGGACTTGGAGTCGGAGTCAGTGTCTGAGCCTGAGCCGCAGCGGTTACAGTCCTGCATAAAAAATGATTAATTCCTAGCCTGATAATTTATGTAGACACATAATTCACAGCGGGACATATTTTAGCCAGAGTTCAGGCCACAAATGCGGTCGCCACTTAAATGTGGCTCTAAAAATAGCACACACACACATACCTATTATATGAGTGAGTGAGTGTGTGTGTGTGTGAGTGAGTGTCGGTCATATGCTTAAGCTAAAAATAAAAGGTAAAAACCTCATAGCGGCGCAAGCATCGGCGCGCGCATTTGATTTAAATTGAAGTTAAATCCAAAGCCAAGCCAAAAGGCTAAGATCAAGGCTATTCTATGGCCATGGAGCTTTGGAACGTGGCCAGCGCCTGGCTATATCATCACTACCTTTAAATATTTATGACGCAGCGGCTGAGCACAGGCTGAGCTTAAGCCCTAATCAAAACTGGCCGTTTGCTTTTTAGTTAGAAAATTGTCAAGTTCGTTGCCTAAGTCTTTTGTTCTTTTCTTTATTTCATTTTTCTCTCAAGTAAAAGAAATCGCCGTGAAATATTTTAAATATTAATGAAAATAATATGTGAAATTAAGTTCATATTCCCAATCAATATCCAAGCCCGGCTTTGCTAGGACCAAACTGTTCTTGAATTTCAAGTCAGTCGGATGGAATATCTAAATTAGCCTTTTTTTATACCCTGAACCTATTAAAAATGGGTAATGTATTTGTGTAAATGTATGTAACAGGCATAAGGAAGCATCTTGTTGATCAGCATCAACAGTCGAGCCGATCTAGCCATGTCCGACTCTCTGTCCGTCCCTCTGTCCGTCCGTAGAGATTTGTAAGTCCTCCTAGTGCCCACGCAGATCGACTTTGTTTCCGATATTGCCCCGTTTCCAAGTAATCGATACAAATCTATATCGAAATCCTGTTTTTTGAGCAATTTTGGTAAATAATAAAAGCAGGAGTCACCAAACTTGACAAGTAGCTTCTAGAATAGTATATATATTTGCATTTGGTATTGGAAGAAGAGGTATCCCCAAGTCGGGAGCTCCTCACTAGAACCTCTTACTTGTTTAGTCTGCGTAACTGGTATATAAATTGAACAATACAAATTTAGCCTATACGAAGCCCAGTTATTCTCAGAGCCAAGTTTCGAGAATGTTAAACTCTCACTTCCTACTTGAGATAAACCATCCAGGAGCACATAAAGTAGCAACATCCAAGCATTTGTGTCTTTGTCAAGTGTCCCCATTGGGCAAGCATCATCAGCATACAGTTGACATTATTACGATGTTCAGCAATAGAAGCGCATTAGTTATCTGAATGATACTTAAGCTGCACTTCCTTGATACCTTGCTCCCTCAGACTCATGAATTGATAATCAATAGATGGTCAAGCGCGGTCATGAATGTGCATCCTCCTCCACTGATTGAGTCAGCTGTGACTGTCGCAGTATAATTTGTACCACAGTGGCAGATGCATGCCCCAAACCCCAAGCTGAATAGCCAACTGGAATAAATTCTAGGCTGGCAACCCGCTGGCTTTCATTTCTAATTTTTGCATTTGGACCACTGTGGGGATCGGCTACCGTCCATCGATGGGGCCATGTCGATGGCGATGTTTTAGCGCATTTTATTGCTTTATTTAAGACTTTGGCATCGCACAACGCTTGTCAATTTTACAACTTTATAGAGGCGAGCGCTTATCGTTTGCATATTTATGCCTCGCTCGATGGCCATGTCTCTTAATATTTTTGACATATTGGCTATGGCCGTGCGCTGGCCCAACCATTGTCTGGCCCCATAGCCTGGCTGGACCTAAGGCTGCTGTCTGCTGTTCACCGTCTGCGCCTCAGCTTGGCTGTGAGAGGCTCATTGTTGTCGTCATTTGTTGACTGCGCCTTCCACAGAAATTTGTGCAACTCGACTCAAGGAGTTGAGTTCTGTATTTGCGTCTACGTCTGTGCCTGCGTCTGCGCCTGTGTCCGTGTCTGTATCTGTGTCTGCGTTCGCATTTGAATTGCAAATCCTATTATGACTTGTGAAATTATAATTTTTCTAGCCAGGCCGGCCGCACAGCCACTCCAGGTTCATGCCCATGTCCGTGTCCAGGGTCCAGTCTGTAGTTTCTTGTCTGCAGTCTGTTTTCTGTAAAGCAGAGGGTTCAATAGCATGAATTATGCATATGCAGGCGCTTTTGGGGCGCACACGCATCCCATGCACTTAGTTATGATAACGTTGCACATTTTGCTGCACGGGCTGCTCCTCTTCAGCATCCTCATCTATTTGTTTTGGCCAGCTACAACGCAATACGCCTCACGCCCCATTCACCATGCCCCACGCCTCAAAAGTTGCATCCGCAGCAGCATTCGCATCCAAATGGCCAAATGGCTTATGCTTTATGCGTAGCAGCTGCTGGCCACTGTAGGCTCTGTAGAGCACTGTGAGAGTTGTAGACGCTGACGACGCCCCCTCTTTTGGCTGCTACCGCAACTCGAACTCGAACTTGGGCCCAACCATTGCTGCTGACAGAACAAAGAAGTCGTTCATTTGTAATTGTTGTTGCTGCTGTTGCTGCAAAGGGCAGACACGGCCAAGGATTACCAGCAGCAGATGTAGACGCACATACTCCAACATATATGTGTGTGTGTCTTTGTATATAGTGTGCACCATGTACATATTTATGCTCATATGGAGGCAGGCTGTGTGTGCTTGCATATCTTTTATGACTTTTGACTTGCCTTTGACTTTGGTCAGGTTGAGTTGAACGACCGACACATGTGCTGCCAGATGGGCTTTGTCGAAAATCCATCCATGGTCAACAGCCATAATGGTTAGCTGGTCTCTTCAAGGCTATAGCATGTCAGGCCTATGTCTATAAGGAACCATAGACCGTGTTAATTAAACAATTATATTTTAGATTCTCCTTTCGTTCCAGCCTCCACCTTGAAAGTTTTTAAGTTACCAGGTGGACAAATAGAGCAAACAGCCTGCAGAAGATCCTTTCTGAGGCATATTGATCATATATAAATATATACATTTTGGATTCGGCGTTATCTCCTTTTATGCGTTACATATTTCATGACAAAATTACATTACAATGGTACAGTAATGCCTGTTCGTATGATACCGTCTTCATTTCTCTTCAGCTGGCTTAGCTTAAGTGGACAACTGCAATTTTGTATGCAGTCCTTACCACTTACAGCTTAATAGGAAGCCTATTAGCTGGGCTACCATTTTGCAACGCCAACTCGCACACAAATCACACACAATTAGATGTCAGTCAATGTTGAAGCTGGTCAACAACTGACCATGATTACTGACTCCGTTTGTCCGGGTGCTGAACGAGCCCCGTCGAGCAGCGATTTCAGCTATGACATTACCTCAATGTCGGCGCAAATTTGCAAATTAGCAGCAGACAACAAAAGAATTATATATGCACATTATATAATGCGAGTTTACCAAACTAACAACGTCCAATGGTTGAGGAACAAAATACCCAAGCCGAATCAATTTGCTGCGGATCACACAATGAAAACCAGAACAGGAACCGTCACAGGTTCTGTGTCTTTCGTCTGGGCAATGGATCTGGATACTCCAACAGAAGGCAGTTCCTCCTATTCATCCCATGCACACACATTTTTCCCATCATTAACATTGCGAAGACGAAATCTGCATTCAGATGAAGTTAAGCCGACCAAGAATCATGCGTACTTACTTACATAGCTCTTGTGTCTGTGACTATTTGTTTCACGAATTCGCAGCGCATTAAACGAACGAAAAAAAAAAACCGACAACTCGAAAAGAAAGAAATTTAAAGAGAGTCACACGCCAAACTTGTGAATATCCTAGAAAATTATTTAAATTATTGACGCTACCAAGTGAAGAACCCTAAAGATATATACCTATGACTTGGATATACATTATTTCATACCTTATCTGATATGCTAATAAAAATAGTATTCTCATATGCTATGAAAAATATTTCATATAAGAATGCAAAATATACACAAAGCATGGGAAATATGCCAACTCTCAGTAAAAAAGATTGTTACTTTTCAGTAGTTATCTTACATTGATGAAATGCTCAACTTGTAGGGTATTTAAGAGCAACAGCAGTGGCACTCTGTCCTACGGTCCAAACAAGGCAAAAGGCATGTCCATCCTCCTATCGTAACAAGAACAATTTGTTCTAATGCGCCATGGCAGCAGTTGCAGCAGCGGCAGCAGCAGATGCTGGAGCCATCGCAACGAGAAGCTGGAGATGCATAGAAAAAGGAAAGGGCAGCCACTGAACACGCAATGGCCAGAACAAATGTAGACATTAAGCTGCTGCTGCTGGCTGTGGCCAAGCCGACCGCAAACGGAGCATGGAACGCAGACAGGGCGCACCTTAACATCGAGTGACACGCAATGGACAAACGCCAACGCCAACCAGCCAACCAGCAGTTGGCCACAATAAAAATCACGTACATATATATCTATATATTAGATATATAAAATTTGCCATATTTCTCGCGCCTTAGTTTTTCCCAGCAGATACTTACGGGCATTTCAATAAATTCGCTGCAGAATTTTCATTAATCGGCATCTAGTGGGGGAGCCTCACAAGTGCCTCGGGTGGACAGCAACAGCAGGTGGAACGGCTAATGCTGAGGATGCTGCCACTGCCAGTTGTACCATGGCCATAAAAATATTTGCCGCCTTAATGTGAGTGGCTTATAAATTTGCACAAACGCGACCATATATAGCATTTAAGCACTGGGCCCATGGGGGCAGGGGCAGTCAACAGATCGCAGACCACCATCCACTACCAATGCCGTGACAGTTGTACATAACTGTTATTGTGGTTAGCTCGTTGGCTCTGGACAGTTTTTTTCCGAGTTGATAAGGGGACGTCTTTTTGCTTTTTTCCTCCGAATTCTTTGCTTATAAACGTAAGCCGTTTCTTCTAAAACTGAAATTGCTTTATTATTGTTCGAATTTCAAATACGTCAAATTGTTAGCTTTCTTTGCGATTTTAATAAATCAACCCCCTCACAACCGATCATACGGCGCTGTTATATAAATTACGACATAGGTGAATATAAAAGTAGACTACCCACTGGCTAAATAGGGTAGAAGAGAGTGAGACAGTAAGCAAAAGAGAGGGAGTTACCACTTACCCAAGAAATGTGTAAAGTATATATTACTAGCAGTTATAATAAAAAATATACACCTTGGTTGTTAGGTGATATATGTAAATTTAAAATACTGACTCTAAACTGATTTCATTTATTTTAAACTTGCTAATGGTATTTACTTCTTAACGTGTACATCTACAATACTTAATTAATATTGGGATTATACAATGGTTTTTTTTTGGTTTCGTAAATGATGGTTGTACATTGTAAACTAACGATAATGATGTGGACTTAAATGCTACTCTGTAAATAAATATGCATGGCCACAATGAATTGAATTTAATTGAACTTTGAGTAAAAACTAAGCGGTAAGCACTGCTCTGGCAAGTTTTCGTTTAACGGAACATATTCACTTTGTGTGTTTTCATGTGTTGTTAATAAAACTTGTTTTTTTTTTTTTTGTTTTTGGTAAAGGCAAAACTAATATAATGTAAATTCAATGTATCGGTGCTTAAATCCTAACATCTTTGGACTAAATCATTTGGTAAAATTTTCTATTTAACTTTTTGGGTTTAAGCTAAATTAAATGGCAAGAACTAATTCTAAGCGCGTTTACTCTATGGCACAATCGCTTTAGTCAGAAGCACTGAGCAATAGTTGCTTTTTACTTCTGCTTCATGTACATGGTCGCAATCTTGTCGAGTATCGTATCGATCGAGAGCAGCTCCTCGCTAAACTTTTGCATGGTCTGCGCCGGCACAATCCACTTAAGAAACTCCTCCACATTTAAACGCAGCCTAGCCAAAGGCGTCAACGTCGCATCGTCATGTGATGGACGCTGCGCCAGCTTGAGCGATGCAATGATAACATTATCAATTAGACGCTTTTCATAACCTAGCTGACGCAACTTCTGTGCCGAGCTAATCTTTTTTAGCACAACAGCAATATTGAACCGAATGTTAGAAAGCGTATGTGCATCTTCTGTTTGGCTATCGTTAGGTTCCTCTGTTGTTTGACACTTGCCACACTGTTCGGCATGCGCCTGCAGCTCTACTTTGATTTTAAAGAACTCTTGGCAGCCAGGGCACATGTAGGGCTTCTGCTGTTTGTGTATCTTTTTCATGTGATTCTTGAGATGCGCTAGCTGCGAAAAGGCCACCTCGTCCGTACATAGTTGGCAGCGAAATGGCTTTTCACCCGTGTGTTTTCGTATGTGCAGCTTAAGGACGCTGGAGTGGGCAAACGTTTGATGACAGATCTACAAGGTTACATCAATATAAATGGATAATTCATCTTTTGCATAGTCGCCTCTTACCCGACACTGATATGGCCGCTCCCCCGTGTGCATTCGCATATGCACATTGTATTGCGACTTTTGGGTAAAATACGAATTGCACACTTCGCAGACGTGCGTTTTGACTGCGGCATGTTTCTGCATATGCGTGGCCAGATCCTCATCCGGTTCGATGGTTTTATGGCAAATTTCACAATCAAATTGACTCAGCTTGTGGTGCTCCTGATTGATATGAGCGCGCAGTGCCAATTCATTAGCAAACTGATTCTCACATATGGAGCATCTGTGCTCCATTCCCTGTTCGTGTCGCTCCATGTGTACGCGCAGATTAGCATTGGTCGAAAAGCTGGCCGAGCATTTGGTGCAATTAAATTGCTGTATACTCGTCTTGTGATGAGATACCATGTGCTGCTGCAGCTGTTGCACGGGGAAGGAAATGAGAAATATTAATTTGTATATAGGATAAATGGTGTGATGTTGCTTTACTCACTTGACCGCCACGTGCGAAGCGTTTCTCGCAGAGTGCACATGGATATGGCTTCTCGCCCGAATGCAAGCGCATGTGCAGTTTGAGGCGCTCCTTCAGAGCAAATGATTTGGGACACTGGCTGCAAGCGAACTGTTTCTTGTGCTCATGGGCGGTGGTGATGTGGTTCTTAAGATTCACCGCCTGGCGATAGCATTTGCCGCACTCAGCACATTTGTGTGGTCGCTCGTCGGAGTGGATGAGCATGTGACGCAGCAGATCGGTCTTGCCGCCGAACTCCTTCGAGCAATGGGAGCAAACGTGTTGCTTGCGTTTGGTGGACTCTGCTTTGCGTGGTGATTTCTTTGGTTTCGGCTGAATATAGTCCGCATCGGCATCCGTCGAGTCCTGATCGGCTTCGGGCTCTCCATCCACATACAAATCTTGCAGACTGTTGAGGCTGCTCTTGCGTCGCTTAATTGCCGTGGCAGCCGGCGAAAAATCGCGAGCCGCTGGCGGCGAGGACAGCGATATACCGCTGTCCGTAAGCACAGAGACAGCATCCTCCTTGGATAGGCTGCGACGACTGCGTACCATGCTGTGTTAGTTTTATGTCTATTACAGAGCCTTCTGCACCCGGCACCAGCTGCTAATTTACTTGGGTAAGGGGTTAAGGTTTCTACAATAGGTATTTGATTTTCGATAATTTTTAGCTAAAGAAGAAGGTTCCCAAACACCTCGGATTGTTATAGCGATTTAGTTATAGTTTCGCTGCAAGAAAAAGTTAAGAGCTGTTGATTATTTAGCTTGCATTGCCACGTTCGAAACAACTCACAAAACAAAACACAAAAGAAAACTACAATAAGAATTTCAGCTGTGTCCACCGAACTTTAAAAACTGACGCTGTCGATAAGAACCACTTCAAGGGGCGGGGCAGAGAGAAGTACCGAGGGAAGTCAGCGAAATTACACGTAGCAAAAAGTTATTCGCTTTATGAAAGCTAAATACGTTTAGCACTTACTGATTTAAACTCGTCGTCCCAAGTGAGTTGGTGGTTGATTTAAGACTCTCACTTTTTTGCTCTAATCAAATTTGAAACCTGAGACAAGTACTCTTGAATTGAACAGTGTTTTTTTTTTACTGTGTAGCAGTACTATATTTGTTTTTATCACTTTATCAGCTAGAATTTCCAGGTAGTGTATATACACACACACACACACACACACACATACATGTGACAACTTATGTGTGGAAAGCTGAAAAGTTGTTTAGTTTGTTTTCTCAATCTTTTGTTTGGAATGCGAGAGAGCGAACTGATAAACGCGCGACAAAGGCAATAACTGATAAGGGTAAGTCTGGTCAGATAAGAGTTTATTTATACAACTAGTGGTATATTTTTCACTATAAAACTGCTCTTGCTGCTGCAGTTGTTGCTCAGAACTTCCAGTGAAGTGGCATATTAATATAGGAAAACTGCATGCGAAACAAAGAAAACTGTAAAAAACATCAAGAATAGGCGACGATGACGACCCTGGGAACAGTTAGCGCGAAATGCTATACATAAACATCTGGCGAACAGATTGCCCATATGAGCTCACACACCCCCTCCAGACACACACACACACACACATACACATAGGAGATTTACAGACCTGTGGCGTCGCTTCATTGAAGTCAACAAAAAAATAACCAAAGGGCGGCGGCGCACGCCAAAACTTACTGTGCACAGTTTTATGTACTCGATGACGGTAATTGGGAACAGCATTGAAGCATGATGTCCAAGTGCAGGGACAGGGCCACAGTTCACACAGCTGCACGTTACGCAAATGAAGCGTAAAACGAAAATGAAAGCACTGTTGAAACGCAAATTGAAAGCGCGCGACAAACCCTAAAAAAAACACACACTTCCAAAGAGCTTTAACTGTAACTATTGCAGCAGCTCTGCTGTCGCCCGCGTCCGACGTGGAAGCGGCGCTGCCGTACGGTAGCCAGCGATTCATTAAATTGAAAGAGAACATTGAAAAAAGCACGAACGACAGCGAAAAGTCACAAAAGGTGTGGGACACAAAGAACATATATATATATATAAAAAAAAAAAGAAAAAACAGCAGTTTTGTAATGCTAAATAGGCAGCAGTGGCGAGCAGCGCAATTGCAGAGCACAGGGCGTGCGTCTTGCTGTGGGGGTCAAACGTTGAAGTCTTTTGTTTATGTCGCACTGAAAGATCAACAAAAACCTGCGCAAGAAGTTTTGTTAGTAGCTACAAAATACCAGCACCAATGTATCACAGCTAATTATATTTTATATATTGTACATAAGTAAATGCCAACACCACAATTAATTCGCATTGTTAGGGAAATCAGGGCAAAAAAGGCAACTTACCCGCAGTGGAGTGCGAATATTTATAGAGCAGCTGCAAAACAAAACTGATACAAGCACACACACAAACACACTCACCGCTGTAGTCGCACACACACACACAAAGCAGCTGGCTACATTTTATGTTTTATTTGTTTAAACCTTTACTGCATTTGCCAAACAAACGCCCATTTTCACTGCACACTTCATATTTGTGTTTACCTTTAGCAGCCCCATAAGCACCAACATATTGTGAACGCTGAGCAAAAGCCATGAACAATCTTAGCTCATTTCACATGTTATACATTACATTGTACATGTCAAATGTATTGTTTTCTTAAGTAAAATTTAATTAATTTCGTTTAGCACCCCGCTGCGACGTGTTCACTTGTAATGCTTAGGGTGGAACTAGTTCGATTAGGGAATATCGATAGGTCGACATTTAAGAGCACACTCCCTGTATTTCAATACTGTAATTTCAGTATTTTACATTTGGCGTTTACGGTAACACTGCATACTATAACGAAAGCATTGAATCTTATAAACGCAATGTGATTTATTATACAAAACTCAAAACGCCAGTCGCTTCATAAGCAAATACATGTGCTGATCCACTTCAAAGCCGTGCAAATTATTGGCATCACCTTGCAGACGCATCAGCAGACCTCCAAATGAAACGTATGCCGACAGCCGGGATGATTCGTTATGCGCTTCGTCGCCTTCTATGCGATAGATCTTTCCGTACATAACATACTCAAAACTGTCTGCTCGCGTGCCTTCGTGCTCCATGGGATTATATTCGCCGCTGTCGGGACAACCATCCTCGCGCAGTGTTGTGGCCAGTACTAAGCGGAATTTGTCTCCCAGTTCCATAGGATAAAGCCACGAATTTATGTCCAGTATGAGGTCCATTTTAAAAGACTCTGATTCGCAGTGCAGGCGGGAGACACGATCGAACTTTTTACCTTCCGGATCCATGTCCTTAACGTTGAATATGTCCTCAAATAACACTCCTGCCATCTTCTCTATGAAATAGTTTATTAACTTGGATCGCTTACTTCCGTCCGCCAAAAATTTACCTTGCGCTTAAGTCGACAATGGCAAAGCTTAGGGATTTTGTTTTTTAGCAGAACCCACTGCTGTTACTCACTTTTTAAACAGTTGATAAAGTCACTTTGTTAAATTTTAACTTGTTTTGTATTTTTATTAAAAATACAGCGTTGTCGGCAGTTCAATTTAGCGTGCTACAGGGCTGGACAATCTATAGAATGGTGGTGTGTCGATATGCTAGTTAAATATAATATATCGATATTAAGTGGGCTACCAGATGCGCAAAATCAAAGATTTATCAACACTGTATTTTATACAGCACTTTAATGGGCAATAAAAATTTACAATTTGAAATTATAGTTATTTTTATTAATATAATATTTACAAGTGATGACATCATTTACCAATTCTGCGCTCGAACAGAATAGGCAATAATGCGACCGCCCGAGTATATTGGCCTACGTATAGCGGGCGTTAACTGCGCTATTGGAGATATAGGCGAATTAACGGTTATCTTAGCCGGCTTTCTTTTCAAAGGGGCATTAAGAATTAAGCGCTCCGCTCTAAACGGAATTCGACGCTCCAGAAAGGGCAGAGTCAATTGGGTTGCAGGGAAAGCAGCGTTAACTCCATTAACAATTTTGGCGGGTCTTCTCTGCGGACGCGCGGTTAGTTTTGCGGGTCTTCGTTGGCTCTGCACGGGACGCAGCAGCTGCCGGAAGGCGGTAAAACGTTGCACCAGCGGTAGTATAAGCTGTGCCTGTGGTCGCAAGCTAGCCAGGTTTATGATTGCTGCACTCTGTACCGGACTGTTGCTGTCAGTGTTCGTGGGCGCCTCTGGTGGACCGTATAACTGGTCAGGAGTTTCATCTACGACCGGAGGTCCGTATGTATCATCGGGTGGTCCGTAGACCTCATCGGGAGGACCGTAGACCTCGTCAGGTGGTCCATAAATCAGTTCCGGCTGCTCCTCAGGTGGTCCATAGGTCAAATCCGGCTCAGGAAAGTCGGCCGCCTGCTCCGTTGGCAACTCAAACGGCGGATCTGGCGTCAGACCAGCTGCTGGATATGGTGCGGCCTCTTGTCGCTGCAAAACAGGTCCCGGAAAGCGTAATCCAGCCGCCGCACTAGCATCCAGACCAAGCAACGAACAAAGGACCACTAATAACACGCTTGCACCGAACATTTTGCTGTCAAAACATGAACTGCTACTTCCACCTGAAAATTGGCTGCTTTAAATACCCATAGCCCACAGATGACCTTCATTGATAGACTGACCAAACTGTCCCAGTGCCCAAAATGCAGACGAGGCCAATTGCCAACGCCGCCGCCGTCGTTGCCGCCGCGATGACTTATACGGCAAACCCAAACGTTTACGTGCCCAACAACGCTGACTAGACTACGTGTAAGCCAAAGATTATGTTGTTATGGCCAACTTTATTAATAGCCCTTACATGACTTAGGTTATAATTTTACCACCTGCTACGCAGCACTAAGCGCTGAGGCACCGGCTGCTGTCGGCGACGTCCCTGTGGAAAGCGTTGATAGATCCTCGCCGGCTTATTGTCCTGGGGCTGATCGAGTGTCGTGGATACGGCAATTACGGTTCCATCTTCGGCCACTTGCACAAGCACTTCCTCTTCATCCACATCTGCGGCTGGCTGCTGCTTGGCATCGGGTAACTCATCCTCTGGAGCTGGTATGTCGTCCGTTTCAATGGGAAGCTCTGGCTCTACCTCTGGCACCTGATCTGGCTGCGCCACCTCATCCACAGTCGTGGGTGGTCCGTAGACGCTGTCCGGTGGTCCATATGTGTTATCCGGTGGTAAATAACTGGCTTCCGGTTGGGCGGTTGAGCTTGGCAGTTCGAATGGTACCTCGGGAGTAATGCCCGCCTCCGGATAGCCAGTGGGCGCTGGACTTGGCGCTGCCTGCTCCTGACGTGCAAGACCACGACGCGGTACGAATCTTTGACGTAGTGGCTCCGAGTTGGCCAACACGGCCAGACTCAGCAGCAGGATAGCAGACGAGGCTTTAATCATTTTGACGATCACTTGAGTTGTGTTCTGAGTTGCCCAAGAGCTGAGCTTATTTATAGCCGCCTCTCGTCAGATCATTGTTCATAATTTATGCTCGTCACTTTTGATTTTAGGCCTCCTAGCTAGTAGTCGTAGTTGCTATTCCCGTTCGCTCGGCACGGCTTTGATTATGTTGCCCCGATCGAGTCGGCTTGTGATTTCTGTTTTAATGCTGGTTACGTGACCCTTTTCCCAATTTTGGCCGCCAATGCTAACCCAAGCGCCAAGTGCTCGTCTCTGTGGCTCTTCATTAACACGCCGTCGACGCCGATTCCAATAGGCCTTTGGTCGTAATCGTATTGTCCGTCCGTTTGTTGGTTTGTTTTGGTGGGTTCTTGGCTATTCATAATTTTATTTGATGGCTTTTATATTCATATCCACAGGCCTTGGCAGAAACGTGTCTGGAGAAGCTCGACATTAGACACAATTCTCATCTAGGTCAGGCGAAGTCTTCGATCATTAAATATTAACTGCCTTTAATAATGTTCTTTTTATAAATACCCAAATTTTTTAAAGGTCAATTGTGATGTTTCAATTATTGGGAATGGGAAGTACTAGCTGAATAAATTAAAAATGGGTATAAGGGTATATTGTATTTGTGCAAAATCCAAATATATATAACAGGCAGAAAGAAGCATCTCCGACCCCATAAAGTATATATATTCTTGATCAGCACCAATAGCCGAGTCGATCGAGCCATGTCCGTCTGTCTGTCTGTCCGTCTGTCCGTATGTCCGCATGTATGAACGCAAGGGTCTCAGAACCTATAAGAGCTAGAGACTTGAAATTTTAGATGTAGGTGCTCCTAGTGCCCGCGCAGATCGAGTTTGTTTCCGATATTCGATAACTTACTCAATTTCCAAGCAATCGATAAGAATCGATATCCTGTTTTTTGGGCAATTTTGGTAAATAATAAGAGCTTGATTCACCAAACTTGACATATAGCTTCTAAAATAGAATATATATAAATATTTGATGTTGGAAGAGGAGGGTTCTGGGAGCTCCTGACTAGAACCTCTTATTTTTTTTTTAGCATTCTCAGGTTTTATTATCTTGTAATCTTAAGCAAATAGAATTCTGTTAATATTGCTCTCTAAGTCTTAATGATAGCTTGATGATATGCTGCACAGATTAATTTTTTTCTCACATTTTTTTTTGTTTTAATTTATTTAAAATCTTCACTCATTAAAATCTTATCAATTAAAAATGTTAAGTTTAACTCAATAAATTGAACGGGCATTTGCAATTGCAGAAGAACTCTACATAAAACCTTAAAGACGCCGAAGCTTTAATATAAAATATTTGCAAATAGTGCGAATCGTAAATGCTGAGGTTGACAAAAAAATATCATGAAAACCAGATTTTTAGATATATAACAACCTACTTTTCGACTGGTCTTTCCTATGGAAGCTTTGTGATATGATGGTTCGATGTTGACAATACTTGATATATATATATATATATATATATATATATATATATATGGATCATAGTGGAACTAATATATACCGAGTTTGGCCAAGATATACCTACTTAAAACTACTTTTTTATTAGTCTGATCCGGTAAGATGGACTAACGTAAAGTTTCATGATGATAGCTTTAAAACTTAGACAGTAATTCGCATGAAAGACGACAGAGGGACAGATAGACATGGCTATATCAACTCAGCGATCGATACTGATCTACGATATATATATATTTTTTACGGGGTCAGAGATATCTTCTTTGCATTACGCGCTTTTGGATGGTAGACAAAAATGTTTTGATGGAATTTCTCTTGCCTCCGGTCTTAGCGTGCACTTATGTAATGTAAGGTGACTTTCGTAAAAATTCATCGAGCAGCGATATTTATTATAATATAATTAATAAGTAAAGTGCCCCATTAAATGTATTGAGATTGAATGAATAAATTAAATAGGTAAAGGGTATCCTCCAGACTTTCAAGCATAAGTATTCTTGGGCTTATCAAGTTTTCTGGTTTCAAATAATGATATAAGGTTCATAAACCATTTTGGAGCTCAGGAATGGGACATGTAAATAACAATGTTTTTTTTTTTTCATTTTCAACAACAAATTCTTTATATATTTAAATCAATAACAAATATTTGACTCGATAATTCGCAAAAACATTCTCAACAATATTCTTCTTAGATGGTATAGACTAGGATTGGCTTGGAGCGTATGATCTGAGCGGCGCGCAGTTTCTCTGGCACCGGACGGCGGCTGCGCAGGCGGCCGCTGCGTGCCAGAATCAGGCTAGCGGGAATGGGCTCAGAGGCTGGATCGGCGTCGATTGGTGCCAGATCCTGATCTGCTGCAGCATCAGCGGGTGGACCATAGGTGTTATCCGGCTCGGCGGGTGGGCCATAGGTGTTGTCAGGCTCGGCAGGTGGGCCGTATGTGTTGTCCGGCGGGCCATAAGTCAGATCTGGCTGTGCCTCGGTCTCCGTCTCGGTGGGCAGGTCGAAAGCTATGGCTGGCGTAACACCAGCTGCTGGATAAGGCGCCGAGGCGGGCGTTGGCGCAAGGTCCAGTGCTGGATCGACGGGTGCTGGTGGCGCCGCCTCCTGGCGAGCCAGCTGGAAACGCGATGAGCGACTGCGCAGACGCGCCGGCTCCGCCACAGTCACAGCTGCAATAGCAGCCAGGATGAGCACAGAGCTGGTAAACTTAAAAGCCATGTTGAGCTATTGCTGGGTGTTGTTAGAATGTTGATATCGAATGCCAGTCGCTGACTTTTTATACACAACATTTTGGCAGTCATAAATGGCACTCTGAGGGACACCCTTAAGATGGTATCTACCTGCACCTACGTGACAATATTTAGTCAAGGGCCCATGTCTAACCCATAACCATTTACCATTTACCATTTACCATTAACCATTTACCATTAAGTTGTTTGGTCACCCAACTCTGAACTTCACACACTTTTTGGGCGCACACTGGTGCAAAATGCGTTGAAAAAAATACACAAATAGTTAACTGTTGTTTATTATTATGTTACACTGTGCCAAAATCTACTCCAGTCTGGCTCCTTCCTGTAATCCATTCAAAGCTTTTCAAAAGAGATGTGCATATGTCTGTTACAGGCAGATGGCAAAAGCATCTGTGATGCCATGCCCATCTGTCTGATCGAAGGATCTATAAAAGCCAGAGTGTTGACATTAGAAGTATATTTATTTTAATATACACCATGTCTATCATTATCTTCAATGTCTTTTCCCATTTTCATCATATTCATGATTATAAATTTTGCTACCTGGTTTTTTAGGTCTATCTCCAAGATTATGAGATCTGGTTACATGCAACTTGGTATGTTGGTTCACAAATGGTATAAACAGGTTTAAGATCTTTCAGCTTCTGAAGTTAGAAGTTCAAAACTCAGTTTTGAGGCAGAGTCTTGTGCTTTGGAATGCAAACACAATTAGGTGCCGTTTCTCGGCCCCGAGCATTTGATTAAGATCGGACTATAAACACCGAGGTCTCTTTATCTAAGATAAGCCTATTGCGATCAACATGTCGAATTTAGATATGAAATGTAGTTCGCTGTTTAAGTTTCTCAAGTATATGTTAGTTGTTCAAGGAACTATTAAATAGGTTTCTTTGGTAAATTGCCAGGATATAAAACAAGATTAAAACAAACACGTAATAACAATTGACTTCCGAAGCACTGTGCGGCGCCTGCTTGTCATGCAGTTCGTTATTTTTTTTTTTTTTTTTCGGTTTTTGGATTGGGCTATCAAATTATTGACTGCTTTATATGCGAAACGTTGCGGGCTGGTCTAGAATCGCCGCAACCGGGGCCACGGGGCCAACTACGAGTATAAAAGTAAAAGCTCCATATAGGAACGGCAACAAAGCGTCACAACAAGTTAGACGATCATGGCACGTTACCAACCCATTAGCTCCCTGCTGCTGCTGCTCCTGGCTGTTTTGCTGGCCAACACTTCAGCTGAAGCACCCCGGCGATTGCGTGTTAATCGACAGCGCCAGGTGTTTGCCAGGCAGGAGGTGCAGCCCACGCCGTATCCCTCTGCGGCCGAGCTAAAACCGGATGAGCCGGCGCTCATCTACGGCCCACCTCCGTCTACGGAGCTGGATGAATTGCCCGCCGAGCAGGATCCAGCTCTGAATAGCTTCCAGCCTGATGCTGAGCCCGAAACCGATGCCGAGGAGCTGGATACCGAGGAGAACTCGCTCGAGGAGACCACACCAGCAGCTGTCGCTCGCCTGCGCAGCAGCCGCCAGAGATTGGCCAAGCTGCAGCTGGCCAAGGCACAGCCAAAACGTTTGCGTCAACGTCAACGCATTGCCCGCCTGGAGGAGCTGCCCGTAGAAGCGCCAGCAGCAGCTGTTGCGCCGGCAGCCGCCTTGCCGGCTCCACAGTTTTTCTATCTGGGTGCCCAGCAGCCCTATGTGGTTGCCTACAATGCAGCTGGCCAGCAGCTGGCCTGGTAAATCGTCTTGTGATTGTTAGATTGTTATATTGATTGTGATCGACTGCATATAAACCTATTGTTGCGTCTATTAAACCATGTTAAACTAGCTGCATATAAATTTAATTTTTCTTTCAACAGAGCTGCTCTACTCCTTACTTTTGCAGTGCCCTTTTCAGTGCCTGGTTGACACTTTTGCTCCAGCGACGAGGTTGTTTCTTTTTCTTTTTGTTTTGCTTTGCAAATCATTCGCCATTAAGAAGCGCCCAAGAAGCTCAACGAGTCGCTGCTCTTGGCCAGAACTTTCCATTGTTTGGATCCATTTTCAAACATTGCATTGAAGTTGTTTTTTTTTTTTTTTTTTTTGTTGTGCATTTTTCCTGCCGCTAGATGGTTCCTTCCACATTTCTGAGCTCCTTTTCCTCAGCCTTTCCTTTGTTCTGGCTCTTTGAATGCATTTTTCATGCTTTGCCTGCTTATAAATTGCTATTTGTGAGTGGTTTTCTTATTTATGTTTTCTTTTTACCTTTCTGAAGTATTTAACAGGCTGCTTTCATTATTATGCCAGCCAGTTAAATGGAAACTGAGCTTGGTAATAATTATGAGAGAATAATTCTATGCTCGTATAGGATTTCCATTATTTAGATTCGCGCAGATAGTAACAGCAAAAAAATACGCTAGCATGTCAAATGGACAGCAATTTTTATAAATATCATACATATGAAATGCTTTTCCCAGGTCAAAAATTTGGCTAGCCCTAAATAAATAATTTTAACGACAATTAATTCTATATATATTTTTTTTTTAATTTTAATAAATAATATGTATGCTGAGTTTTAGTTTGTAGAACAATTAACATACAATAATAATATATTTCACTTATAAATATGTATTTAATTTCGTTTGCATATTATTTTATAATTAATGAAGCACCAAAGGGTAAACGTAATCTTATAGCATGGAAAAAAAAAAACACAAATCATGCCTCACGTTTTGGTATTTCCTCTGTTTTTTTTTTTTTGTTTCGAGATAATATTGTTGAGTAAGAGTGTATAATGTACACACCACACAGACAGAAGACAATATAAATAATTTTGTATTTACTTTATACGTTTTTATAATTATATTGTCTTTGCACAGACGAAACGAGCTTAAATAAATTAACTATTAACATTGTTTTATTTGCGGCTGGAAAGCCAGTTTTTTAGCCAGCAAAGAAAGATCCCCGGTTCTCAAGTGCACTAACATTTGGCCTCGAGCTGTTTCTCAATGACTCAATGGCCTGATAGTTGAGGAACCAGAATGGCTGATTGTCCACAGGCAGTTGGCTTAGATGATTCACATAATCCTGATCGCCATGCGCATCGATGGGCAATGCATTAGGTACGGGTCGAATCCCGCCGACACTGGCAATGGGACGAGCAGTGGCAAAGGAACCAACACTCGCAATGGGACGAGCACTGGGCGCATTCGGTATGCCCGCAATGGGCGTGTTGACGGCGCCATCTGTGCCACCAACGCGATTGGCAAAGTCAACGGCTGCTGATGTTGCTGTTGGGGCTATCGATGCCACATCGGGCACATAGCTGCTTATGGGCAGCACCAGGGGCACACCCATTGGCGGCCTCTGTGCGGCGCCGTAGGCCAAATTGATTGTTTGCGATTGCTGGGCGACGGCATCCTCGCCAAATCGTGTGGCAATGTCCACGCCAGTTATGTTCTCCACGGCCGTATTTTGGGCAGCATGATACTTGTCCTTCTGGCTAAGTCCGCCAGGTGGACGCGCGCCCGCAAAGGATGGCCGCTGTGCCCGCGACAGTTCAAGCAGTCCCAAAAACATGACAACGTACGAAATACTCTTCCACATTATTTACTTATGATTGGTTTTTCGATTTAAATAAAAGCGAATTTCACTCGAAGATCAGAAAACACGTCACGTTGCTCAACTGTTGCCTTGCTCGTAGCGACTGAGAGCTGAAAGCGCTTCCAATTACTTAAATAAGCAGCCAGATGCTGCGCGACGAGCGACAAACTGACTAAGCCGAGGCAGAGATAGCGACAGAGGCGATGCCCAAGCCAGTTGAGGCTGCTTTTGCCGCTTATCAATATGATGGAAGCCCATACTGACCCCCACCAGTATAATCTCATTGCAATATCTCTCTCCCTCTCTTGCTCTGTCTCTCTTTGTTAACTTGTTTTAAGATTTCCAATTTTGCATATCTGTTCATATATTCATTTGCGTGCTAAAATTTTAACGTATACGGCCTGCCCGGCCACTCCTCTGCTGCAAATTAACAGCGATTATCGTGATAAGTTGAACAAACTTGCGTTCATGTATCTCTTTGTATCTTTCAGTTGCAATAGTATCTGAAGTGCACAAACATACCTAAGAGCCTTTGACGTTCTATTAGTATGTTAATACAAAATGTCCTTGGGTTTCCACATGATTTTTTTATAACTAATTTTATTTGTTTTTTTATATCTTATCCTAGTGCCAACTACACAATGTGCTTTGGAAAATAAATTGATTATTTATGAGAGTATTCCTCAAACGTTTTTTTTTATTTAGAACCAAACCGTATTTATTATAATAATTATCTCAACTTAAGCAATTCCATGTCTTTAGGAACAGATTCTTGAGTAGTGCACAGGTTTGTGGCTTTCCAGTATATTGTTCCAGTAAAGTAGAATTCGTATTTTCCAACTCTGGTGCTTGGCGTCCCTCGAAAGTTTCTTATTTAGGTTCGGCTGTGTTTTTTTGGGATAACTATTCGATTAAAGATTCGGTTCACAGTAAAAATATTTATTAAAAAATGGTGTATGAAAGGACTACGCTTTATCACGAATTAGTTAAGCAGCCAGAAGAATAAATTAATTTTCTAGGGTATAAATGGTTCGACTCCCAACCGAATCAGTAATGAATTGGCTGCTTTCGTGCGGTTAGGGAGATACCCAGACCTCTGTAATCTGGCTGCAGAGGTTCGTCATCAATTTCATGTTATATGACGCGCACGCGTGCGTTCCTTAACCGGTTGTAGTTGGCCCAGCCTCGCGTCTCGTCCGGCTTTTATTTGTGTTGGGAGCAGCCCCCTCCAAGCCGTTGTGATTCATGAGGCAGACAGAATGTCTGAGCTTTTGTTATGTTTTTCAAACATTTTATTTGCAAATGCTTACAATCAAAATTACATTTCAAATTGTGAATAGTGTGTTGTGTGTGTGTGTCTGTATGTGTATGTGTGTGTGAAGTCCGTCATCATGGAGTATCGTTGAATCGTCATGGGTTTTGGGTTTTGGGTATGCACCAGCCAGCATCTGGCTATATGCGACTGCCCAGCTCGGGCAGCTCGTAAGCAGATGTGTGTCCGCGTCTAGGAGCGTCTCACTAGGCGCACAGCGCTTAACTTGGCGGGGCGTGCCGCTGCGGATGCCACACGACGATAGGCCAAGGGCTGTGCACGTCGCAGGTTGGCCGCGCGTCTGGCAGCCACTAGACGCGCCTGCTCGGCGGGCACATCGGCGGCGGCATCGGCGGGCAAATCGTTGCCAGTGACATCGGGCGGTCCGTAGACCTCATCGGGCACATTGTTGGGCGCGGGCGCCGCATCGGGTGGGCCATAGACAGCATCCGGTGTGGGCTCCGCAGCAGCTGGGGCGGCTGCTTCATCGAATGGCACCTCCGGCTTCAGTTCGTCGGCTGAAGGATATGGTGTGACGGCGGCATCCGCATCCGCTGGCGCCAGCTCCTGGCGTGCAAAGTAACGGGAACGTCCACGGCTCAGACGCTGCGAGGAGCGCGCACGCTGCACCTGGCACTCGCTGCTGGCCAAAAGGCAGGCGGCCATCACTATCAGAACTTGAAACTTGGCCATATCGTTGAAGGGTTCTTGGTGAATTGGGTGAATGTGTGTGTCTAGGAAGCTGAAGCCGACGACTGCTGCATTTGGCAGCCAAGCGAGGCGCTTTTATACCTAGGACAGCTGTCGCAGCAGCGGTGGAAGTGCCACCTGTTCCAACCGCGCTTGAATCTGTTTAGTGTGCGTCGCATAGTCTAAGCATGGACATCCTTTTTTGGCGCATGCTCTGACGTCGGCGGCACTATTGTGAGTGGCCGATCGGCGGCTTTATGAGCTAACGACGTGACAAGAAAGAACTAGCAGAAGAGTTGGAAATACGAATTTATAGTTCCGCCATCAATCAATCCAAAACCGGAGCGAATACTTTCAGTGGAACAACACAGGGAAGGGCGCAAACCTGTCCACCACTCAAGAATGTGCTCTAGTTTCTTAAAAACTTACCCTTGCTTGAGTAGGGCTGATTTTTTATATGATTGGAAGAGATTGGATTGAGTATCTGAACATTTTTATTGATCAAATTGATACTCACATATAGATAATCAATGAAGAACTTATGTGATTTTTAGGTTTCCCATGGATGAAATCGACGTGTAAGGTTAATATGGCAATAGTCAAAGACTCCCAACTTGCATTTGTTTCTTACTCTGAACCGAACCTTATACGAAAATGGTTTCTCAAATAACAAAACAAGCTGAACCTTATTTTTCTTCCAATGCAAGATTCAGCCACATCCATATCCATGACATTTATCTAATCTTGCTTGGAAATAATGGAATGATATTCTTATAAAAATGTATTCAAATATATTTAGTTAGAAATATTGTCAGGAGACCGCACAGCTATAAATTACAAATATAAATATCTTATTAAATAAATTAGAAATATAACATAGAAATATAACATAATATAGAAATCCTGAAATGCCACGACGCTTTTCTTGTTGGGTTTACAGCCCCGCCTAGTATCTATATAATCTTTGGTCAACAAGAGTATTGTGATAGGGTTGTATTTAGATATCGTAAGTTGCGGCTGGGACACCCATGTGAATCTATATGGCAAATAATATGGTCGGCAACATAAGACGTGACGTGCTGTGGTAGTTAGTTAATTACTCATAGCTGCCCTTGATGGCCACCTCATGCAGTCGTTGATCGCATAAATATCGATTATAAGTGTTTATTAAATATTCTAACATTCAAACCCAGACATATAATGCAATTGGCAACAAGTTTTCGCTTTCAATTGATGTGGGCGTTTTGTCAATGGTTTTGGCCGACTGGAAGCTCCTTAAGCTTGCGGATCACGTAGGAAACGCATTTTATTTCCATAGAACATGGCGACGATTCGGACGTGGTGGACGTGGATAAGTAGCCCAAACACCAGAAACAAAACAAATTCAAAATATAAAATGTATATATATAAAAAATAAATCAATAAATGTGATAACCGTGCGCCTAATGATGTTTCAGGCATATGTATATGCATATGTATATGTCTGGGATATTACGGCTCCACATGGAACGGAACGAAATGAGACGACTCTCGCTTTCATTGCCAGTTAGCTATAGCCGGACTGAGCACCCGAGACCTTAGGCAGTTCGAGAACGTTGTATAAAAACGCCAGACGCATCCGCAGCGCAAATCAGTTGAAATATATCGCGACCAGTTACGATATATACAGAATGCAGTGGATATTCGCGCTAGTTCTGGCCCTCTGGGCAACCGCAATCGCCGAGACGCGCCAGATACGTATCAATCGTTATGCGGTCAGCGTGCAGGAGGATGACGTACAGCAGGCGGTGGTTAAGGAGCTGAAGCCCACGCCATATCCGGCAGCTGGCTATAGACCGCAGGGACGCGCCTTCTGGTTGCCGGGCGAAGCCGATGCGGAGGCTCTGCCCACTGAGGGCTCGGGCTTGGGTACAACTACAACGGAATTGCCGCTGGATGAGGGAACAACGAGCACAACAGAGTCACTCGACTTGAGCACTACAACAATGACAACAACCACATTGGATTCCCTGGACGCCACGACCACATCAGCACCCTTTGAGTTTCGTTCCGGCCGCGCCAATGCGAAAGCCCCTTATCCAGCTGCAGGCTATCGACCAAGTCGCGCTTTTCGACTGCCCACCGAGCTGAATCTGGAGCTGGGGCAGCAGCAGCAGCAGCAACAGGTGGAGCCAAGCAATGTAAACGAGACGGCAGCAGTTCCCGATAGTAATGCCAACCATCCTGTTTGCGGTGTCAGCACAAACCCACTGAAGCCCACCCCGGAGCCGGGCACCAAGGATGAGCCCGACTCGGAAAATGTGCTGATTACCGCCAATCTGGGGCCAGCCGTATTGGTTGCCAGAGCACCAACCTCCCCGGGCATACCCGTTGCCATACCCCTGCGCTCGCAGCCTCTGATTGCGGCGCCCAGGCGAGGATTTGTCTACACCACGCACGTGGAGCAGCGTTGGTGAGGCTCAGGCTGACTGCACGTCCCTCCTATTACATTGTTAACAGCTTAGAATTAATCAATCCATGTTACTCTTATTTAAGTTGAAATATATTTGTATTCATTTGCAATCTATATTCATATATTTATGGCATTTCCTAGGGTATTCAAAGGGAATTGTAATTCCTCTCTCTCTCTCTCTCTCTCTCTCTCTCTCTCTTTCTCTCTCATTTTTTTAAATATCTTGATCGATAATCTTAAATTATCTTCCTTTTGGTTAATATAGGAACATCCGAATAAACTAACACCCCTTTTAATCCCCATATATAGAGCTCCATTAGCTAGGTCTGAACATATGGAAGTGGTCGATCTTGGTAGTATTCTCTTGCCTGTTGCCTGTTCACGTTGTATTTAATCTTCGGCATGCCGAAAATATGCAATTCCTTCTTGCTTAACGATGTACTTGTGAGGAAATTGCAGCTTGACTACTTTTTATCCTTTTTTATCAAATTTTTTATCAAATCCGTTTCAAATTTGCGCCCTGCTGACCCTTATTAGCTACATTGCTACAATAAAGCTCCAAGAATTTGGTTTTTAATCTCCAAAAGAAAAACATTTTACTTAAATTTCCTAAAAATCCTTTATTTCATTTAATTTTACTTGACTTTTATACCTTCAATTCTGTCCAGGCTCTTCCTCGTCCTCCATATTTTTACTCGTTGAATTATTCACAAGAGAGGCATTCCATAGATTTTAAACCGATTTGATTTATGTTCCTTTAAACGGAAACTACAAATTTGTATAATATTCATTGATCTACTGTAAACGGATGATAAAATCTTAATGAATTGCTAGTTCTAGGAAGAGCCAGTATTCCGTTTGAAAATTGGTAAAAATGGTATTCCTTGTGTAAATGTTGCTTTCACCGTGCTTTTATATGCATATATATTTTTATTTTATTCTGTCTTTTATGTCTTAAGTCTAAGCTTTAAATCGTAATTTGTTATTTTCGATAGTCGTATTTAGCATAAAAACAAACTTTAACTTGAAACCGCTCCAAAGTGCTTTCTGGTGCGAAAATCAGCGCAAATTGTGCACAAAGTTAACAATCAGGGGATCATCGAAACGGGTGGGCACAATTTCTACGGAATGGACCACAGGCTGCAAGTGGGCATCGCTGTCGATGTGCGTGAAGCTGCCCAGCTGCAGTTCGTCATGTGTGGCTGTTGATGCTGTTGATGCTGGGGATGCCAGCTGCAGGCCAGCATTGACATCGACCAGCACGTATTCCGCCTCGGGCTCGACAAGGGCCAGCTGAATGGCCACATTGTTGTCACCAGCTGCCTGCGGCTGTTCGGCAATCGCAATTGTGGCATTGTCCGTGGCCAGGGCGATGGCCACATTGGGCTCAGACGAGTCCTGCGAGGATATTGTCGCATTGATGGGAAAGAGTTTTGTTGTCTGGCGGTCGCTGCTCTCAATTGTGGTTGCCGTTGTTGTAGATTCACTATTCTCGGCAGTGGTGGTACCCTCCAGCTCGTTCATATAGCTTAGCGTTGTGGTTGGGACCCCGCTCTCACCGCTGCCCGCGGCGGCGACTGTGTCGCTCTCGTCCTGCTCCTCAAGCTGTTGTTCCACCTCTGCCGGCCGCTTGGCTGGCGTGCTCAGCAGCAACAGCTTAGCCGACTTCATTGGTGGCTTGCCTCCAACCACAATCAGGTCGCCCTCGATGGTGCTCGGCGCAGGATTTAAACTGGCCAATCCAATTTGCACGCTGGCATCCTGGTCGCGGCTCAGTGCAACGCGGTTCAGCGCGGCTTTGTGCGTGGTGCTTTCTTCTGGTGTCACCGTAGTGCTGGCAGCCTCTGCCAGCCCGTCCAATATTCTGGTTGTCTCCTGTTGCTGATCGCTCCGTATGATAGCCGCTTGTGCGCTTGCCAGGCACAACAACAATGCCATGTAAATGCCGAATCCTTGCCACATATTTGCTGCTCTGCTTGTTTGACTCACTATTGGACTGTGCTACTAAGCGCTGACATTTTCCGACCGCGCGTATTTATAGCTGCTCAGCAATTCCTAGTGGGGACGCCCGGTTCTCCGTACCCAATCCCAGGCACCTGTCATAATTTTAGCCCTGAAGCGTTCAAATCGACGCGCTGCTTCCGCAATGCTGCCCAAGCCGGAAATGTAATTTCGTGTGAGTGTGCGATTGTGTATGTGTGTGTTAGTGTGGGTGTATGTGTGTGTGTGTTGGTGTGGATGTGTGGTTGATTGCTTTGTCCAGCGCCTCAGTCGTGGTCATCGTGTCAACGTTGAGGCCAAAAGGCGGACATCGTTCGCTACACCTTAAACCTGCCCGTTGACCGCAATGATGGTCACAGAGTCAGACCCAAAATCGCTTTACATTCCGCCCCCAAACACCCACACCGTCCGCCCGCTCGCCCAGCAGCTGTGCCATATACTTGCTGTTCTTGTTGTTGTTGTTGTTGTTGGGCAAAGTTTGCGGCCAACCAGTGCCAGTCGTTGGACATGCCGGGCACGTACACTTGGTGACTTTGTTTTCGTCTTAAATGCGAATTGAGAAAATTGAAATAAATAGCCACATGTTCTTCTACTCGTTGAGTACATATATCTATTGATATTTTATATAAATTATAGAGAGCTAAGCGAACATCCTAACTTAATAACAGACTTGCCTTGCAAGTAAATTCACTTAAATGTAGAATACAATTTATTTAATTTCACCTAATAATTGATATTAGCGAAAAGCCAGTGCTAAATTGTGCCTTAAATGTAACTATTTACCATATTAACAGCCCGGAAGATTGGCCGTAAATAAATATGTACTTACCCGTAAACACAAACACGCTGGAGGCATACACTGGAAAAAAAAAAATAAACAGAGTGTTAGGGAAGTTAAACAAATAAATAAATAGAGTAAAACAAGGAATGGAAAGTTAAAAGAGAAGCAGATAGAGAGAAAACAACATATGAGTGTGAGAGTACACTGCCATTCTTAAATCAGCATTACTTAACTGATATATGCCAATAATAATAGGTTTTTAAATCTATAATCTGGGTTAAATGAAACCTTTTGACTTTATGAAAGAGATCGAGTAAAAACAATATGAACCTAAATCTGAGACATTCCGTCTTTGTCAAATTTAGTATTTCCGAATGGCAATCAATAGCAAAATTTGAGTTAACTTAACCGATATATTCCAATTATATATATTTTTAACACTGTAGGTAACCTACTAGAACATTCGAAGTCTCAACTCAATGTCAAATATATATTTAAGTAATTAGTCGACCGAAAGTTTCAACCAAAAATATATTGCTGCAAACTCAAAAATGTCAAAAAATTAAGTATAATTGATTTAATTATAATTTTTTTTTAAAGTTTCTTGAAGAATAAGTATAATTTTGGCTGAAACTTATGGAAATTGAAAAATAGAATATATTTCATTTATGTATATTATTTGTATTATGTATATATAAGTTTATTATCGAAGATTCAACACTACTTATGTTAAAAATACATATTGCCTTAAGTTTATGATTTATGTTGATTTTCTTGGTTGGTTTTTGGGATTTCTTTTTAACGAAATTTGGAATTTCATAAAACGAATATGTCATGCTTATATGCTGGTATAATGTATAATAATTGCATATGATCGATCGCTGTTGTACAAGTAGAATGGGGAAATGCTGGAAATTGTCGTATTTGTATATATGTATAATGAATTTATAGTAGGTATTTATGTGGAGTATGACATGATCGACACGATTTCAATTTCGACGCCAAGTTTTAGGGTCCTAATACATCGAGATATGTGTGCTTCGTTTAGATACAAGATACAATTAGTTAAGTACAATTACGATAATTATTGTTCAACGTGTGTATTCAATGTAGATATCAGATTTGCATTTAGATATTCGTTTTCAAGTTGGTTTAGATTTCATTTGAGACTTTTCGGCCTTTTAGATGGTATATTCTAATCTGTGTGTATATGGCACACGCACGTATAAAATGAATTTACGTCTACTTACAATGTAAAAAATGTTTTGGTTTGTGCTTGTCAGTATTCGAGTTAGTACTCTCTCGAAGGATTCTACTTCGTTTACTATTTCTTTTTTTTATTCTTTTTTCTAAACTTACAAATAGCCCAATAGCCATCGGGAAGCACGTAATGCTCACTCGCCGGCGCCGTTGCTCTCGCCATCAACTTTCTGCTTAGTATATGCAATGATTTACTCTCAAGCGCAATGCAAATAACAAACTCCAAATTAACTTAATTATAATATTAATTGAATTATTTTCCACATAATTATGTTAATCACATAAAAAAAAAAAACAATAATTAAAATTTTTGTTAGTAAATTTATACTATTAACTAAATAATTGCTTTAAATTAAAAAAATAGCAACAAAAACAATGTAAAAATATTATTTGCTATATCATTTTTCTATTGCGCTTAAAAGAATCCGGCACAAAATGTCGCTGCTTAGGCAATATTATGAACCTTGGCCGACAGGCAATTGTGTACCACGAACACAACGGGCTTTGGACAACACTCCATATCCAACTCCTGCATAGAGAGAAAAAGGGATGTGAGTTCGATTGAGTAATTAATAATATGCAGGCACTTACGATTTCGCCATCATCGCCAAAATCCAAATATAGCATGCGAGCTCCGTCGTCCGCCGAGCCTTTTAACTTATCAAATGGGAATTGCCAGAGCTGCGTTTTGTTGGCCACCGCCGCTGTTGGCGTGGATGAGGCGAAGCCACCGCAATCGTATAAGAAGAAGCCCCGATTTATGTGCACAACCAATTGACACTGCCTGCCCTGGTAGAGGCAGCGAAACGAGAACTCCCGCTGCAAATTGACCGCCTGATGGGAGCCCTGAACAAGAGCACGCGCCCACGCGGCCATATCCCGGTGTGTCTCCGAGCGTAGCCAGTACACCAGGACACCCCGTGCTGTGCCACAGCGCACACAAAACACCGTGGTCTGCTGGCCCTGTTAGTCAAAATGTAAATCTGTTTAGTAGCCTGTTAAATGCCCTTAGCTGTGCATCAACAACTCACATTTAGGGAGGAATTGTTGCCGGCTCCGGCCAACCTTGTGGTGGCCAGCGCATAGCTCTCCAATGGACGACTCCAGGCCTCCACGGACCAGGGTGCGCTCTCGTATATCCGAAACTCGCGCTCGGTAACTGCCACAAAAATGGGCAGCCATTTGTCGCTTTCATCGGAACTCTCCGAGCTGGAGCGACCGCTGGGCTGTTGGATAACAAAAATGGATCAGGCTTGAAATAAATATTTTCAATATTCTGTATAATAATCTGAAAGCTTCAATTAATTACAGAATTCGCAACATGGTCTCGAGACTAGACTTTTGTGGAGCGATCCGACTTAAGCTCAAATATTTAAGGCCGAAATTTGAAATAAGTATGTTTAAAAAATATGCAACTTACACTTACCACCTCGCCGGCGACGCCTCCACTGTTCGAGGTGCCGCTACCTCCGCTGGCCGCGCCACTGCCCCCACCGCCGCCGGCGCTGCCCGAGCTGCCGCCTCCGTTTAGACGCTTGCTCAGCCAACCAATGTGCTTGAGCTCCCCAATAAGAGTCATCAGCGCACGGTTGGCCTCGACCAGGGAGCGCTGCGTGCTGCTGCCCATGGCCGAGTGGAGCGCATTGAACCAGACCAGAGCTTCCGCGGAATCGGCCGCACGCAGAATGCACGAGTGCACGCCATCCGGCGAGTGCAGCTCCAGGCAACGGTTTTCTGCAAGCGCCAATATAGTTGAATTTAGGATTACGTGCACCGGACAAAGGCCACTTACCCGGATCGATGTACTTGAGATTGCGCGCCAGATGCGTCAGCTGCAGCGGTATGTAGCGCGTGTCTGCTCGCGGCGTTGTCTTAGGCGTCGGTGCTGGCGGGGATGTCGGCGCGCCCGGACCCAATGGGCAGAGGAATGCACGCTGCAGCTCCCAGCCCACCTCAGAAATGATGCTCGCCTTCCGAAAGTAGGGCGTCACCTCGCGCAGAAATTTAACTGCAAATATAGACATCAATATACGAGCCCATGAATATGCATGCCAAAGGAACGTGTCGCCACCGGTGAGCTCTACCCAGGCACCAGGATGTGGCGACATCAACCACACAGCATTCAATCAGTCCGTCCTTGCCATCGTCAGCGTCAAGCACAAACGTTGCGGCATAAATTCATTAGAGTTTCCGCTCCATTTTTATTCGATTTGCACACACGCCCAGGACAAGCTTGTTGCACACTGGGACGAAGGCTTATCGAAATCGTGCACTAAGCAAACACCTAAAGCTTCTGCAATTCGGGTCAACCATGAAGGCAATAAGGATCTGCTTAGTGAAGCTGGTTTGATGCAATGTATTCTAATCAACTCTATAAACCCGCTCTAAATGCCTGATGTCAGCATCTTAATAAAAACCACTTTCAACAAATTAAATTAACTGGTAGCATTACGTAATAAATAAATAAAATATAATATATATAAATATATAAAATATATATACTAACAGTAAAATTGAAAAAAATCTATAAATGTTTCATTAAGTTTTCAATAGCATTTGCGCCAGTGTGCAGCTTCTATGCAAATGCTGATGGCAGGTGGCTTGAAGTAGATATATACACGTTTATCAGACTCTCGAGTCCGGTGGGTGTGTGTGCCGCCCACAACATTTGCACATTTCCGTTGGCGACGTTGTTGTCGTTCGAGTGATTTGGAAATTCAATTTTCACACTTAATGCCAACTGTTGGCAGCGGCTGGCGGTTTCGGGGGTTGAGTCGCTTTATGCGGCTCAATTCGTGCGCTTAGCCCAACTAATTAGAGCAGACGGCATCAGGGCTGACATAACCGTCTCACAGTCCCCGCAACACGGTCCTGCCCGCACTCCCCGACGCATTGCCACACTAATTGCTTGGCATTTACGTGCACCAAAGGGTTATGAGTGGACGTTGCCTAAGCTCGCAGCTCGGTAAACATTTACATACAAAAATATGCGACCAACAACCAACAGACAGACAGACAGACAGACAGACAAACAAACAAGCGAGTAGAAGGCACAAAAAAAGGTTGCCTAGCGTTAGGCGCTGCTGGGATCTGGCGCCGGGCTGAGCGGGTGGGCGGGTGAGCGGGAGCTGGGCACGAGAATTGGTAAGCTTGAAGTGCACTAAAAGGCAAACAAGCCAGGCACAACGCAAAAGTTTAGAAACAACAATAACAACTGTAATAAGTTGTGCAAATTTTTGCATTTCAGTGCAAATAAAGTTGCAGTCGCAGAAAAAAGGGATAACACACATACATATATAAAACAATCAAACTACAAATGCTGAAAGCCAAATGTAAACTGCTCTTGAGGCCATGTTGCATGCGTGTATATATGTGTAAGTATATGTAATGTGCTATGCTTTATAAACAAATAACCCCACATGACCTGCACACAGTTCAAAAGCCAGAATGACTATAAAAACAAACCAATTGCTAACAGTATATCGTTAAATGAAATAACTAAAAAATAAACACTTATCCACCTTTAATGCGCTTATTTTAACAGCACAATATGCCTGTTCTGCTTTTCTTATATTTGAACAATTAAACGAAATCAAATCAAACGAAGCTTATTTATTCTTCTTGCTCTTCTTGATCCGCTATTCGTATTTTCATACAAACTCACCATATGAACTCACCATCTCAACTACAACTTCAGACCAGCCGCAATGGGCAGCGGGTTTTTATACTTTTTATACAAACTCACCATCTGCACTCAGCAGCTTAGACCCAACTTAATTCGGCAGCCCTATTTGTGATACTGCTGCTTCTTCTTCTTCTTACGACCATACATTGATCCGCTATTTATACCAACTCACCATCTGCACTGGGCAGCGTCGCATTTTCAACTAAGCACGGCTGCAATAGGCATAGCCCTATTTATGTTACACGCTCTTCTTCTTGCGAGCTTACTTTGATCTGCTTTTCGATTTCTACACAAACTCATCAGCTATACTTGACCGCAGCGCAGCCTTAACTGAAGCCTGCTTTTATATGAAAACACATACAAGGATACACACAAACACTTGCATATTGTTCGCTTAATTTGTAGTCAAAAATACATTTGCAGATTGCAAATGCGAAAGTGATTTCAAGCACATGGATTATAACTTTGATCAATTCATTCTTTGATTAAAAATCAATAGTTAATATTTCTAGTAAAAGAAATCAAATTTCTTAATGTTTATACACTTTTAGGTTTACCTATTATCAAACTCGGAAGTGTAAAAGAAATAAAGCCAGGTTTCATATACATGTGCTACTTTTATGTTAGGTATGACTTGTCAACGCCGGGTAATATCTACTATTGCCTATATGTAGAATGGGTTAAAAAGTAAATACATACATTTAAAATGTTTTAGCGATTAGAGATAAGTTGGAAATTAAAATTTGTTAAGTTATTTGTGTTCGGAGTAGCAAAAGTCTGGCCATCGAGCACAAGGGGGCAAGTTTTTTACACCTTTGACAATGAAGCGAAAAGCTGGCGGCACCTGACCGCCTGCATAAATCAAGCCGGAATAGAGCCAAAGTGGGCGTGGCCATGGGCGCACAAATATGATATCAAGTGCAGGCGGCGCTACTGCCGCTCTCGCAAATCGTGCGTTAAAACTTTGCCCAAAGTTTTTAGAGTAAAATCTCACGCGCTGCGTTCCGGAAAGGAAGAAGAATTTACTTCGTCCCCTTGAACGGGGGAGCCGGGCTTTGGGGGGACTGGGATGCGGGCAGCCCAGTGAACACACTTGGACGGTTGGCATGCCCACAAAAGTATGCCAAGCTGTAAAAACCATTGCTAATGGACTTTTGGTAGGCAGGCAGTGACAGGGACTGAGATGAAGGCGATGGCGGAGGGGGAAGCGGGGGCAGAGAATACGGGTGCCTGAATACGTAGCCAACTGTCGTCGACGCCTTATGCCTGGGCGACGAAATCTGCCGTTGACATTTGGCAGTTGGAGCTTGGATTTTGTGCAACTGGACGGCAAAAGTTGGCGCCCAGAATCCTAGTTACAGCCGCCAGCTTATTTAAATTACAATAAGACGGCTGAGACGCGGCAGCTTTTGGCCAAAACTGTATAGAAGCGAACGCCAGACTCTGGCAAACGACTTGGCCAAGTTGTAAATTCAGGTTCGAGCTGAGCACGCAAACGGGCAGGGGAATGGGAACCTGGACCTAAACCTGGACCAGGAGCCAACCCAAGCCGAAGCAGATCGCTGTTAAGCTTGTCGCCGCCCATTTTCGCTATGCCATTGCCATTTTGGCTGTGATTTGGATTGCGATTGTCATGGTAATGCTAATGGATGCTTGTGCCATTTTACGTGCCTATAGATCTGGGCCACTTTAATTTAATGAATAGCTCCATTGAAATTATGAAAGCTGCCTAAATAAGCGCAATCGGCAATAACAAAAGACGCACTTACTGTGCGCGGTGTGGCAGGAGATATTAGCTGGTCAATGCAGAATGTAACAAGGTAACCAGTTAAAGCATAGAGCATATATGGCACAAAAAAATGTGCATTGACTTTATCTGTTTTCTTTTTAAAGATTTTACAGCTGAAAATGAAGATAAAGCCAACTTTTTTTTATCAAGGCCTAAGCTTCATATAAGTATAAAAGGTCAGACTCTTAATAGTAGAGATATATATCAAAGAAATTTTTGACTTAATCAATTACATTTTTCTACTAAACACAAATTGTTTGTTAATATTTGTACATCTATAAAGAAAAAGATATTTTACTGCTGCTTTATCAACAAACTATTACCTTATTTGAAATAGTTGTTGTTTGCGCATATTAAATGTAAAACAACACTTTTAAGAAATGTGCCCTATGATGCAAAATGTTAGAGCATCGAATATGCGGCAAGCGGCTTTTGATTAGTTTTTCAGCATTTATTCGCTCTTAATTTTGGGGCGACGAAACTTTTGGCGAAATGGATCAACGACATGTGCGACCAGCTCATCAGCTACGTAGCATGCGGCTCACGTTAGCGATGACGACGATGGCGACAAAGTCGGCGTCATGGGCATGGAAACGGACGTGGACGGGGACGTGGCCGTTGAAACGTGCCTTGAGGGCAACGAGGGGCCGGCTGAGGGCTGTTTCATATTAAAGCGGCGTTAACATTGAGCTTGATGGCTGCTTTGATGGGCTTCGATACGTTTTTAAATGCGCAAATATTGCGACTTGTGTCCCATTTGCATTGGCTGGGCAAGAGTTATTATCGTTATCATAGCCGAAAAATAAGCGCAGCTGACCTTGCGACCGTTACTGAATTCTGATGTAGAATCCCCCAGCGCCAGCTAACATATGTAATGCGCTATAAAAGCGAGTGCACCCACAGCAGCCAGTCACATACCGTTAACGTACTTTGGACGAGCAACATGCAAATCTTCACCGGAATAGTCCTGATGCTACTGCTGGCTGTGGCCGTCTCGGCAAGGCCGCAGCGGCGCCAGCTGAAGAGCCAACGTCAGGTGGAGTTGGCTAGCACACCGTATCCGGCAGCTGGTTTCCGGCCAAGAATACCCTTCGATCTGCCCAGCGAGCGACAGCCCAAGCTGGAGGAGCCACTAGCCACAACAACAGCAGCAGCAACTACCAAGATCACAGTGGAAGATTTCGGCACCACAGAAACGCAGAGCACCACCGAGTTGCTGGAGCAGGATGTGCAGATAAATGCACGCACACCGGCCAACACCTATGGGGCACCCGAGCAGTCAGCGTCTAGTCCAGACGACACTGTTGAGGTGGTTGCCCAGGCGCCTGCTCGAGACTTTCAGCCACCCGTACGCGAGGCTGTGGAGGATTTTGCCGCTGTTGCCGTTGATGGCATTGCTCCTGAGCAGCAGCCTGTTGCTGATTTGCCTGCCCTGGACCAGGCCGAGACGCCGCTGAGCAACGATGAAGAGCTGCCGGCCACCGAGATTGCCTTCAAGGCGGCAGCCACACCAGCCAGCACTTACGGCGCGCCCAATACGCCCGCCAGCAGCTATGGCGCTCCCGAGCTCGAGGAGCCCGACAACGAACTGGAAACGGACGAGTCACAGGTGGAGCTGGTCGAGGAGGCCGAGGAAGATCTAAACGCTGCTGCTCTAGGCCTGGCCAGCGGTCGCCTGGTTCTGCTGCCCATTAACGCCGCCGGCGCCCAATTCGGTCGCCTCATCCTAGCTGTGGAGCAGCCCAAACAGTCAAAGCTTGGGCGCCAACGCATACGCAGCGAACGCCTGCGCCGCCGCCACTAAACCAAACCAAACAAAGCCCAACTCTCTGACAAGCGAACCAGCAATGGTATTAAATATTTGTAGCCAGCCTTTATGCACTTGTTTGTTCTTTGTCTCCAGCTGTTGGCCACTGTCCACAGTTGCCGGGTTCGGCATTGGAATTGGAATTGCAATTGGCTGCATCGGAGTCAATTCTATGAGCGTGTGTTTGCACAGAAACAAGTTGGCTCAGCTAAATTGTTCTCTATGGGCCAGTGCATTGTTTATGCGTACTGTTTGCCTTGGAGCTTAGTCGTCCAACTCGTCTCTCCCCCTCTCTATATCTATATCTTTGCTCTGCTCAAGCAATCGCCTAATTGATGCCTCTTGCAATTGCTACACAAGTCCGGGAATGTCTCTGGCAGGAAAGAGCTGAGACTTCTTTTGATTGGGCGAATTACTTATACTTGTATATAGAGCACATCTAATGCAGCTCTGTATACTTGAGAATTGAATTGCAAAAGAATATTAACTTAGTTTACTCCTAGTTATACCTGGATGCCAGTCAATACAGATATCTGGATCTGGTGAATCAACTGGACTTGATAAATGCTTAATCAAGTGCAATTTGCCTTTGCGATATTTTAGTCAACTTCTAGAGTCAAATTCGATTCAGGATTTGACTTTATCCAAGGCTTCGTGTAGTATATGCCGCATGCCACTTCAACAGATGAAAACATAGTGCGTAGCATTCATTTCCATTCGCACAGCGGTGGCAACTGCTGTGCCACGCCCACCGCCATACCGCCCAATGGCATGGCAACTATGTATGTATTTTGGAGCCATTTGATCAAATGGAAAGAAAACTTTTCTCATTACTCATTGCCAAGCCAAGGCAAACAAACAAACCGACGAGCCAACGAACCAACGAGCCGGGCCAACAAACCAGCGCAACTAACGGCAGTCAACAGCTAAGAGTCAACCGGCAAACCGTGCGGGGGCTGTTGATGGGGGATTTATAACAGTATACAGCTGCAGCAACAGCAACAGCAGGAGCAGCAGCATCAACAAGAGCAACAGCATCAGCCGGCAGCAGCTTCCATGTTGTGCTGACTAATCCCACGAATGCACCGTGCCAGCTACACTGACAAAAATGTTATACCCACTAGGAAATACAAATATAATGCTGAACACATTCTTAATGATTGAATATAACCGATAAATTAACACAATAATTGGACTTAAAACTATGGGGTTTTGATAACAAGCCTCGCGGAAGGAAGCTGTGCATTAAGAAGCTGAACTGACCCAATCATGTTGGAACATGGAAATACTTGAAATATATATAAACATTTATAAATACCCATAGTTATCTAATAACTAAAGTTCGTGTTAGCTTAACCTGAGCATAATGCAAAGATTTTCGTGGAATTTCCAACACTGTTTTTAACACTGTATCGCATAAGTTGCTTGCTTTGAGCGCGGAGTGCTTGTTAGTTTAAGTCGCTCAATGGCACTTTTTAAGCACACACACATGATTTATCTGGGTGTTTTTTGTATTTTTATCTTTGTCCCAGCAGTGAACAAATGTTTTGGGCAAATAACAATGTGAGCATTTAACATGGCCAAGGCTACGGAATGGCTTTGGGTACGTACCTTCCAGATCCACAACGCGACCGGCACGTTTCAGGGCACGCACTGCCTCATCGTGGGTGGCATCGCGCAGCTCCTCGCCGTTCACGGTGAGAATGGCATCGCCCACGTAGAGGCCTTTGGCTTGGTCGGCAGCCATGCCCCGAAAGATCTTCGAGATGAGTATGGGCATGCGATTCTCGCGACCTCCTTTGATGGATATGCCCAGACCGTTGTTGTCGGACTTGATGATGCGTACGTGGCGCTTCTGATTGGCCACATGATCAGGTACATCGCACATGTCCAGGCCAACGGCGTCCGCATTGTTATTGTTATTCAGACAAAGATCGCCGTTGTCGTTGTTGCTGCTGCCAGTGCCAGTGCCAGTGCCCACAGAGCCATCCAGTTCGGTGTCTTGAACAACCATGCCCTGCAACGAGGCAGAGCTGGGCAACGTGCCATTCTGACTGGCGCCTCCTCCGCCGCTGTGATTGCTTCTACAAAAGCCACGACAAAGATTAGCCCGTAACCTCTCCGCTTCGCTCGATCTGTTGATCATACATACCCCAGTGTGCCGTTTAGTGTTGTGGATTGGCTGTCGCTCGAAGGATGCGTAGACTCGCACGACTCATCCAGACTCACGGCCAGAAAGTCCGTTTCCAGCGTTACCATCACACGGTACCAAGAGCCGCGCACGCGCGTCTCCAAATTGCCGCAACGCATTCCCGACGGCGACGGCGAATGCTGCTGAGGTATGGGCTGTTGTGCCGCTGGCGGCGCACGGCCCAAGCTCGACGATTCCACCATGACGCTAGCTTACAATGGCTGTCCAACGCGTCAATCTACATGGCAGCGTCTGCGCTAGCTGAAATAAACCATAAACAAATAAAAGGATTTCAATATGCAGAGTTCTTACATATAGAATATTTCAATTCAAATCATATATCCTCGATTAATTTACTGTTTTTTTTTTATAAAATATCATTATTATTCCTAGCTTAAATCGCTGATCATAATAAAATTCCACATCAATTTGTGATTAGTTTTATTTTCTTTTGTGTTCTGCTCCTTAAATATGATATATTGCAGTTAAGACTACAACTTCGTATATTTCACTTTGACTTTAACATTCTCTTTTACTTTTACCCATACATAAACGCGGCATTTCTTTGCGATTCTCATAAAGTGAAACACAACATAATCCATTGTCTTGTTGCTGTCCTCTACCCATTGAAACACCGAAACTAGAAATGCAAACTCAGTAATTTTCATAAAATAGAATGTAAAGAGAGTAAATTTAATAAATGCATTTCCTCTGCCATTTTATTGTTCTTCGATACAACAGACAACCTTGTTGAATTCGAAATCAATGTAGAAAATGTTGCTCATTGGCACCTTCATTTCCTTTGTCTTGCCGAAGAGCATTAGTCAGGTCAATATTAATTTGGACAGCCGGCTGTCAGAGGTGAAAACAATTGGGGTTTAGTGGAACTCAAATGAAGTGTCCGCAGGGCAACCACAAATTTGGACAGGATGCCACAACATTTGTCATTGTTTTGCTGACCAAGATTTATTGCATACCACGCACACTGTTCCCAAGAAGAAGTAGACCAAACAGCAACTAGATAAGGGGAACCAGTGGGAAAGAGCGAGAGCGTGACAAAAGAAGAGAGAGAGAGAGACAGAGACAGACACAAATAGATGGTATGCAAATGCAGCGAATTGTGCGCATCCTGTGCATCCGTCGCACTCAGATCCTTTGCAGCAACAGTCGGCAGCAGTTGCAATTACGCATCTTGTCGCCGCCGCGGGGGGAGTTTTTGTCTGATTTTGTTTTTGACAAGTGACTGTTCCCCTGTGCCGCCCCCTTTTACCCAGCCTTAATATACGCAACCAGGAGCTGGCAGACATCAGCTCCTCGTTCTTTCCCCTTGTGTATGTGAGAGTGTGAGTGTGTGGCATTTGTATGTACATTTCCGCTGACGCTTGAGCAGGAAGTAATTTTGCCACTGCACTCGGTCTTCGGTGCTGGCACTGTTGCTGCCGCTGTCGCTGCCTCATCCAGCGTCGACGTTGACTTCGCCTGAGTCTGTTTACTTTGCAATTTATTGTGCAACATTTGTAATTATTATTGCAATGCTGCATACTTCTTGGCGCTGCCTGTGCCCCTCAACTCCCCATGAAACCTTCAGGCAAGGCTGGCAAAAAGTTTTTGAAAAGCGCCAAGTGTGCGAATCCTTGAGACGGCAATGAAGACGACGGCTGCGTCGGGGGAGGCAACGGAGACGCACACCCTGAAGTTGAAGATGACGACGAAGATGACAACACACTCATAATTGTAAGCAAACAGAAAAATATAGCAATACACACACCCAAACACACACACACACACCCACACCCACAGCCTTGTATTTAATTAGGGCAGTTCAAGAAGTCTGCGAAAACAACAAGCCAGAGCTATAGGACAAATACAAAGGTCTGCCCTTTGGTGAGACCCATAATCTCCAGCTTACAATCTGTTCAGAATTAAATAATTTTAAAGTGGACTTAATGAATGCTTTTTAAAATGGTACAACAAAAGGGCTTAAAACTTTTTCGTATAATACAGTTTTTTCTCTTTTTTTCTAAGCTTAAGCCCAAAAGCTTTTAAAAGTTATGTCTTTCCATGCCATATATATATAAAAGAGATTGTCCTTTATGTCTAATAGTTGATCAACGCCCAGCAGCGCAGCTGAAATATGTACAAAAGCTTGATTTTGGGTAGAAATTAAGCACACAGACGTGGTGCTAAAAAATGCAACCTGCAAGTAATCTAAATGCATGGCAAGGTAAGGCATATAAAAGTGCATTACGAGGAGAGCTTAGTTGTCTAAGCGTTGGACTAACCTGTGTGAGGTCGCTGGTTCGACTCATGCGGCAATTTAAGCGGCTGACATTTTCCAACATTTTCCACATTATTTCTCTTTCTTCAAGTCTACTAAATCTGTATAAGAGTTAATCTATTCACATTCTAACTCTGCTTTACAGTATTTACGAGGAGAGCTTAGTTGTCTGAGCGTCGGCCTAACCAGTGTGAGGTCGCTGGTTCAACTCATGCGGCTAACATTATACAATTTCACTAAGAGTATCAACATTTTCACATTAGTTCTGTATAAGAAATAATCTATTCAAACTCTGTTTTACAGTCCAATCTGGACACATAAGTTAAAATACTGAGCTTAACTCAATAAAACATTATTTAACAAGTTTGCTTAACAGCGCAAACAGGTTGTCGTATAATGTGATTACGATTATTGCCGCCCTCGTTGGCAAACAGTTTTTGCCACTTTATGGCTGGCAGCTTGGCCAGTTAGCACATCCAGCCGAGCAGGCGACTAATCAACGTGCTGTGACTAATTAGACGAGGTCCGTCCGTCCGCGCCCCGATCCAAAATCAAACCGAAATATTAATAGCTTGCGGCGGCACATACAATGTGTTTGCAGGCAAAGCTTAACCCAAGGGCCGCCGCCTCGCCAATTGTGGAGTGAAGCTGTTTTTGTTTGTTTCATTTTTTAGTATTTTTTTTTCTTTATTTTTTTTTTGTGCCTAATAAGCGCCGGACGTCGCTTGTCGCCGCTGCCGTCGGCCGTCTGCGGGGCCATTTTTCATGCTGCGCTTTGGCTAATTTAATGCTAGGCGGTCATAAATTATGCGGCCCCGAAAAGTAGGCAACAAAAACGAAAAAAGGGAAATGAAAGAGCCTGGGAAATGGCAGCAGCTGCTGCAGCCAGCACAAAAACTCACACACACAAACGCACATTCACACACACACACACACACACACACACATGTGATTTCAAGTTCCATTCAACTCGAAATTTTTATGCGCGCTTTTCAGTAATAACGTTTTTTTTGCAGCTTTTTTTTTGGATTTGTTTTAAACTTTTTCATCGCTGCATTTTGCCTTTTAAGCCAATGTTTTGTTTTTTTTTTTATATTTTTTTTATTTTAAGATGTAAAGTGTGTGAAACATTCCAGCTTTGGGGTGTGTGTGCGTATGTATGTGTGTGTGTGTTTTCGTATTGATATATGTGCATGTATATGAGGTGGAGCGAGCGAGGTGGTAAATACGCAAGTGTTTGCCACGACACTTTGCCACAGCTCCAACCCCAACTCCGACCCCGACTCCAAGCACTCGACACCAGCTCCTGCTCTGCATTCTATGTGTGCATGTTTTATGCATGTATGTGTATGTGTGCCTGCGTGTCTGTGTGTGTGGGAAGTTTTGTGGCTATGCCATCAAAAAGTCATAAAATCATAATTTGTAAACGAGAATTTATTTCGAAAAATATTTATGGCTTGCTCCTTTGCTATTCCAGCCGCGAGCATTCGCGGAATTCACCCACAACCCAGCAAGTGTGTCTGTGTGTGTGTGTGTGTGCGTGTGTGTGTGTGTGTGCGGATGTTCCTCGCTTCATTACAGTCCTGTCTGCTGATGGCACCCAATTGCGTTGTCCTCTTCGGTCTTCTGGCCATTTGCTACCATTAATTTGATGCCAACCTTGGCAAACGTTTTTCCGTTTCCGTTCCTAATCGGCTCTCTAGATAAAGCTGTTCAATTGACTTTATGCACTCGCATATAACAAACAAGCTTCATGGGAAAGCCAAGTCCGTAATGCACTTAACAGATAGGATCTGATTGAGTTCGCCAACTGAGGCAAGCTGAAGCAAAAATGTGGGGCATTTTCAGGATATGATATTGGGATAGAGTTTAGCTATAATTTATCGTCACTTGCAGTTCAGTTTTTTTTTTCAGTCGCCTTGAACTTCCGCGGAGATCGGTCGTGTTTTCTGTGCATTCCCGTGCGTGTGTATGTTCAGTGCATCCCAGGCAAAAAACAAACAAAAAGTGACAGTGACACTAACTAAGCCCGCCCCAGGGCTTAACAAACAAATCGCGCCTGCAGAGCGCGAAAAAAAACAATTGTGCTGCCTCTGGCAGCTAAACTATATATATATATAAACATATATAAACATTTAAATTTTTTTTTTTTTTTACACAAAAGTGCAACCGCGTGCGAGCGTAAGAGAGCAAGCTTTTGCTAAGCTCAAACTGCGCTCAGCTGATCGCCTTAACTCAGCTGTAGTGTGTGTGTGTGCGTGTGAGTGAGCAGAGCTTTCGCGAGAGAGCTTTTGCCTAGACTCACTAACACAAGTAAAGCACTAGCCAATAGGAGAACAATCAGTGCTGGCAAGTCAGTCACTGACCGTGACAGTGCTGACACTTTCCAGTCACCGTTTCGCTCCCCGTTCACCAAAGTCACTTTTCACAAAAATACTGGAGATTTTTGTAAATAAGTGCAGCTAGTAAATTTTGGTCTACATCTCACCTAATGGCGTCCAACAAGCCGAATCCACTCATCCCCGACTATCCTGCGTCACCTATATACAACCCGTCGGATAATGTGCTACCGCCATACATCACGCTGTGCGGGGGTACTACGCTACTCACCACGTCGTGCATCACCACAACTGCCTGCTCCCTAGGAACGACTACGGTAACGTCGTCCCTCGCACATGGCATCAGCTCCCAAGGCCCCGCAATCCCGTCCATTCCTGGCGCGAATCCTGCTACAAGCCCGGATCTCCACGCGTTTTTGAATAATTACCCGCCCAAGACTTCACGTACTTGGCAAGGTCAATGGTTTAAGGCCACAAAAAGAGAAGGTGGCAATCTCTCCCCCCATATCGTCCGTAAGAAGGCGAGCACCACCGAAACCAAGAAAGCCAGCCAAAACCGGTTTGCGGCCCTCTGTGACGAAGAGGAAAGCGACATGGACACGGAAGTAGAGCTAGCCACCAACAAGGAAGCTTGCGCCGACGAG